AATAATATATATATATATATATATATATATATATATATATATATATATATATATATGAATATATATATATATTCGATTTTTCAAATTTTAAATCTCATAAAAACTTTATTATATGTTCTTTATGCTTAATTTTATATAAAATCATAATATTCAATTAATTCTTAAGTACTTAAATAATGAAAAAACATATTTAATTTTTTAATTGTTTTTTCATAAATTTATTTATTCATTTTATTTAATTCTTGAGAACTTTTTTTATTTTTTAATTTCTCCAAGTTTTAATTTACTATTTTTACGTATTCATTTTTAAAGTCTTTAATTTTTTTTAATTATTTTTAAGTATTATTATATATATTTTTTATCTATTTATATGAATTTTAATTAGTTTATTTCCAGTTATTTTTTATTATTTCTAAATTTTTGATATTTGGAAATTCATTAATATCTTTATAATTTTCAATTTAATATTTATTATTTACATCAGTATTTTTTATATTAATATTTAAATCGTTAGATTTAATTTTTTCATTAATATCTTCATTATTTTTATCAAAATTATTATCAATTTGATTTATATAAATATTACTTTTATTATCACTATTTATATATTTATTATTTTCATCATCATTTATATTATTACAATTTATATTTATATCCTAATATTTTTTGTAATTTATATTTTTATTATTTTCATAAATATCTTTAATATTTATATGATTATTATTTATATTTTTAACTAATACATTTATATCCTCATTATTATCATTAATATTTTTATTATTATTTTAATTACTAATTGATTTAGAACTCTACCTTTCTTTTAATTTCTATCTTTAAACTAATATATTATTATTACTATCATTTAACTTCATATAAGAAGGAGAAATACTTCTATGTTTATCTCTAATAATATTATTGTTATAATTTGATTATTACTATTAGTGTTTATTTTATTATTATTTTAATAATTCTTCTTTCCTAATTTTTTTTATCTTTTATTTATTAAAATAAATATTCATATTCTTTATATCTTTTTTACTTATTTGTTTCTTTTGATTTTAAATATTATTCATTTTCTAACATATTTTTTGTTTATTTTTAAGGAGAAATTAATTTTTTCTCACTATTTTAATAAGAAAGTGTTTTTTGTCTTTATTTTTAAAAAGAATTCGAACTTTTAACTTTTTTAATTAATAAGAATTTTCATATTTTAAATATTCATTTATTTGACTATTATAATCATTATTACATTGCATACTATTTCTCCTATTTTATTTAGATTCAAAATTATTTTATCTTTCATTTGTAATTTAAGGTTTTATATTTTTGATTTCATCATTATTTTATTATTTTTTTGTCTCAAATTTTCATTATCTTCCTCTTAATTTTATTTTCTTAAATTTTTTTCATCTTCTTATTATTATTTTTTCAAATTGTCTTATTATTGGTGTTTTTTAAAATTTTCCTCGTTTTATTTTTTTGAATTTTCATTAATTTATTCTTCGTTATTTTTTTCGTTTACTTTTATTTTTTGTTTTACTTTTTTAAGATTTTCATCAAAGTTAATTTCCATTTAGTGCGCAGTTTTATTTTTATTTCTCAAAGAAGGACTTTTAGATTAGATATTATTATTTTTATCATTAGAAGTATAAGCCAATAGACTTTTACTTGAATAAGAAATCGTTTTTTTTAAAGGAGTATTTATTAGATTTTATTTAATGTTATTTAATGTATTATTTATTTGTTATTTACTTTTATATTAAGAAAGACTTTTTGATGAACTATTTAAATTTTATTCACTTTCGTTTTTTATATATAAAATACTTTATTAAGAATTTTAATCATTTATTAATTCTTCTTTATACTTTTCATTTTCTTAATTTATATTATGTTATTCTTTGGATATAATATTATTATTTTGTTAAGAATAATTGTCTTAATATTATTAATTTTCATTGTTTTATTTTTAATTTAAGCTATTATTGCTATAAAAATAGAAAAGATTATTATCAAATTCGTCTAAATTTTTAATTTTTTCTTCTTTAACAAAACCTCTTTTTTATTTCTTATTCAATAATCTTTTCGATTTCTTTTTCATTTAAATTTTCATTAAACATATTTTTAAGAACGAAAAAAGTACATCCAAATCGAATTCTTTAGGAAATTTTTCTTTATTTAATTTATATATTTCTTTTATTTTTAACTAAATTAATTTTAGATATTTAAATATGGTCTCTTTATTATTCGTTTTCTCATAAAAACCATAAATTTTTTTATTTAAAAGATATATATTTTATGAATATTCTTTATTTTTTAATGACTATTCACTTTCATATACTTTAAACAATTTTTCATCTTTTAAAAATTACTAATTGCTTTAAAAAACTTTTCTTTATAGATATTAATCAATAATTTTATCATTTATTTATAAAATATTCATATTTTAACGATGTTATGTATTTTTTAATTTTTTTGGATCAAACTTTACTTTTATTAAAGCCCCAAACTTATTGTTTTTTAAAGGAGAGAATACAATATCGTTTTCTATTAAAAATTATTCCATTTTATTTTTATTATTTAAAATATCTTTTTCTATATCTATTATATCCGAATTTTATTCAGTTTATTTTTTTTTTATTATATTTCTTTATTTTATTAAAGAAGAAATCAAACAATAATCTAATGATTTGATTTTTTACATTAAAAAAGTATTTTTATTATTAATATTTTATTTTTATTTTTTTTATAAAATTTTATTTGATTCATATATAAACACATAAATATATATATATATATATATATATATATGTATTTTATTTATTTTAAAAAAACAATTAATATTAACCGAAAACAAAAATTCTTTATAATTTTTTTTATATTATCAATCATTTTCTTCTTTATCATAATCTATATCTTTAAAATTCGCAAAAGTTTTAATATTAAATTAATTTTTATTAATATCTTTTTATCCATCTTATGTTTATTCTTATTAATTTTTATTTTTATCATTATTAATCTATATAATATTTTTTTTTTTTTATTTTTTTATTTAAAAAATATTTTCTTAATTATTATCTTTATTTTATTATTTATTTTATTTTTATTAATAATTAACAACTATAGCAGCACTATGTGGATTTAATACATACCCATTATTATTTTCTTATTATAAAAGTTCCGTTTGATAACTATGTTTATTAATAAAATCCTTCCTTTTATTAAATTCATATCTTGAAGCATCAGGTTCTTAGAATTTATTTAATTTTTAGACATCGGAAAATAATCCTTAATCAAGGTTATCTCCATTTAAAATAATCTATTAATTTTCATTTATATATTAATATTTAATAGGCAATTAAGATACTTAATATTATTATTAATAATTAACTTGACTATTTTAAGAAAGAAAAAGTGGAATAATAGGATAAATGAGTTTAAAATCCTCTTATATACATATTTTTTTTTAATCTTTAATTTAATATTAAACAGGTTCCATAACCGGTTTATAATTTATTTATTTATTAAAATTATGTTATTTAAAAAAATTAAAATTTGAATTTTCTTATTAATATTATTTTTTTAAAAAATGTACATTTTCCGCATATTAATTATCATAAATACCATAATTAACTTTCTATTCATTTTCACTAGCCAAAACTCTAAATTCATGCTTGAAATTAATATATTCATTTTTTAAATTATTCTTATATTTTCTTTAAAAATTACTTTAAAATTTCACATTTTTCTCATAAATTTTATTGTATTTTAATAAATTTGAATTCTCGCCTTCGAATTTCTCTTAAAGTTTTCGGTTGTTATTATATTTTATTAATTTTTCCAAAGACTACATTTTCATCTATTATTTGTATCGATTTCTTTAATATGGAGGAGTATTATTCCTATAACATTATATTTCAGGCAAGTTTAAGTCTTCGTATTTAATATTTCTTTATTTGTATTCAGGGGGAGTCTTTATCTTATTTATTTACTTCTCATTTTATTTTATATGATATAAGGCTAAAGATATTGGTATTTAACCATATTTATATTCTTCATTTTAGGGAAGTTTGTATTTATTGTATGATATTACTTCATAATAATTTTAATCATAATTTTTGTAATTTTATTAATTTAAACCAATCATTATATTTATAATATATATATTAATGGTATTAGATATTTTTTTATTTATATTAAAAAAAAAAAATTTCATTATCCGTATTTATATAATATTTTTGTTAATAAAGTTTTTAGAAAAAATAATAGTATTAAATATGTAAAATTTAATAAAAATAAATATACATATATATATAAACATACATAATAAAATAAATAATAAAAGTAAAAAATATAAATTAATAAATTAAAATATTATTACATGATAAAATTAATATATAAATATATAAATATATTAATTTATTAATATATATATATATATATATATATATATATATATATATATATATATATTTAAATAAAATATATTACCTATTTTGTTCTTATTTAATATATATTACATTTTATAATATATTTTAATTAATAATATCAAATTTTATTTATATTATTTTACAAAAATATTATAAAATTAATATATAATAATATCTAAAAAATAAAAATTTAACTTTAACGCTCAAACATTAAAATAAAGAAAATGGAAAAGCCTTAAGTAGACGTTTAAAAAATACTATAATTCTAAACTGAAGAACATGAAGACATTTTTACTTCTAGAGATGCTATATTATACGCTTTAAGTTTTTTTACATTTTTATTTTTTCAAAAATATATAAATAAAATAAAATAAATAGGTTTAGGATACAATTAAGACCCTTTAAACGAAAAAGAATTAGCATTTACATATGAACTCCATGAAAATTTTAAAGTATTCCCTACATTTGCTTGTGTATTACCAAAAATGGATATCTTTAAAGCTTTACTAGATTGTCCTGGTCTTCCCTAATTTAACCCTATGATGCTTTTACATGGAGAATAACGTTTCGAATAATATAGGCCTTTAGTTCCTGATACAAAATATATAACCGTAACTAAAGTAGCTGATGTAGCTGATAAAGGAAAAGGAATGCTTTTAACTTTGGAAGCATTATCTTATGAATAAACTGAAAATAATTAAAGAGTATTTAAGCATATATATACATGTAATATATAATATTTATATTTAGATACTTGCTTTTAAAAATACAATGAGTTTATTTATTAGATAATTAGGTGGTTTTGGTTATAAAGGAAAAAATTTGCCTTAAATACCTAAAAAGCCCACAAGATAGCCATGCGCAGTTGTTTAGGAAAAAACTAGACCTAATTAAGCATTATTATATAGATTAAATGGAGATTATAATCCTTTGCATATTGATCCTAATATGGCATCAATGGGAGGATTTGATAAACCGATTTTACATGGAATGTGTTTTTACGGATTAATGACTAAGGCTGTTTTAGGTAAATTTTGTGATGATGATGTTAATTTAATCTAAAGTGTATAAGCTAGATTCACTTCTCATGTTTTCCCAGGAGAGAATCTTGAATTTTCTTTATGGAAAGATGGAAATAAAGTCTTTGCTAGTGGAAGTACTTAAGAAAGAAAAATTGAGTGTATTTAAGGGATTATCGAAATTAAAGAAAAAGCTAAATTATGATTTTGTATTTTTTTTTAAAAAAATAAAATAAAATAGATTTATTATTTAATTAATATAATATATTTTAATTAAGAGAATATTTTTTTTTAATATAAATAAAAGTATTTTTTTTTTTATTCAATAAATATTATATAAAACTTAACAAAAATTATTTATATTTTCTTTATTTTTCTCTATTTCAACTTCTAAATGTAAAATTTTATATATTGAATATATTACCTTTAAAAAAAAAAAAAAAATTATTAATGGAATAATGTATATAATTATAAAAAGTAAAAATAATAAATTAATTAAATGTTATATTATATTAATTTTTAATATAAATATATATATATATATATTTATATATAATTTACTTATTGATTTTTTATATTTTACAGATTTTTTTAAATTATATTATCTATTTCTTCTTAATCCTATTCAGTTAATTCAACTTCTGACTTATTTTTTTATTTTAATTAAATATTATTTTATATTTTTTTTTTTACATTTAATTTATCCCTAAAAAAATTTAGCATATTGTAAAAACGTTAATCCCCTAATATATTTTTACATTCATTATATTTCAATTATAGTAAAGTATTTAATTCTATTTCTCTTTATTTAGCATCATCGTGTTTTTTTTAAATATTATTTTAATTAGTTTATATACTCTATACTATTTATGTTTCTTCTTCTTCATCATCTTATTCCTCTTAAATTATTTCTTCTTCTTCTTCTTGTTTTTCTTCTATTTCTTGTCCTTCTACTTTTTCTACTTCTTCTACTTCTTCTACTTCTTCTACTTCGACTTCTTCCTCTTCTACTTCTTCTTCTTGTTCTTCTTCCTCTTCTACTTGTTCTTCTTGTTCTTCTACTTGTTCTTCTCCTTCATCCTCTTCATTTAGTTAATTTTCATCATTATCTTCTTCCATTTTATTATTGTTTCTTTCTTCTTAACTATAATTTTCATCTTCTTCTTCTTCAAAATCATACTCAGTTATTGGAACTTATTATGTTTTAAAATCTTCAACTACTTCTTCATTAATTATTTCATGTTCTTATTTTTCTTCATTAATATTATTTTCTTCCTATTATGGATTATTATCAGAATGAGATGATTATTGTTTTAAAAAGCTTTATTCGGAACTAATTTTATCTTAAAAAGAAGTATTTTTTTCAGAATTAGCTGTTTTTTCATTATTACTTTCTAAAGAGTAATTTTAAATAATATTTTATAATTATATATTTTATTTAGGAATAAAAGGCTTATCATAAAACAGTTTTTATAGATTTTATTCATTTTCATCAAAAGAGTCATTTTAAGTACTTTATTCTTCTTTTTTTTCTTCATTTTTTTCAGAACAAATAGAATTTTAATTTACTATTTACATTAAATCATGTATTGTTGGCTTTTAAAGTAATTATTCGCTTTTCTTTTTAATACAATAAGGTAAATTTATAACTTCTTCTATTTCTTATTAATTATAATCTAAAAAAGTTATTAATAAATATAATAATTGTAAATTAATTAAAAATATAAATATGATAATAATTATAAATTAATTAAAAAAATAATAATTTTAAATTTACTAAAAATATATAAATTAAAATAATTAATAAAAATAGATATAAATATATAAAATAATATGAATATAAATATATATATATTAAAAAATTTATAAAAAATAAAATCTTTATATAAATAAGATATCTATATATATAAATATTTAAAATCTTAAGCTAAAAAAATATAATATATAAAAAATAAATTATATATAAAAAAATAACATTATAATTATAAAAAAAATTTACTTTTTTTATTAATATTTATTTATTTTTCATTTATGGGCTATATTTTTTATTAAAAAATAATTTAATAACTTTTTTGTTTATTTTAATAACCTTAAATGGATTCATATATAAATTAGTTTTTTTTTTTTTATCTTTATTATATATTAATGGTATTTTTTTTTTTTCATTTTCTTTTAAAAATATATTTTTCTTCTCGCTTTTATTCTATTAATTATTTTTTTATAATTTTACAAAAAAAAGAATACCTATATATATCCAAACTATTTTTTATTCGGAATCAAACTTCCTTTAATTTAATTATTTACAGGAGTTTGTATTTGTTTTTGAATATTATTTTAATTCATTTAACAAATTTAGCTATATCTTATATCTTAATTACCAAATAATATTTTTTTATCTTCCTAGGGGGATTAATTTTCAATTTAATTGCAGAAAATAGCTTTAAATTCATCTTATTTATGTATTTTAATATCACTTTGTTTTTTGATTTTTTCGGATTGTTTTTTATTATTCAAAAGTTCTTCTTCTTAAACTTTTTTTATAAATTCTTCGTTTACTTTTTGTATTTTTTTTTTTTGTTCTTCATCCTTTTTTTTTCTTTCTTCTTCTTTTTTTTTTTTTTCCATATTTTTTTCGGCATTTTTTTCCATATTTTTATCGACATTTTTTTCATCTTTTTTTTCATTTTTTTTTCATCTTTTTTTTCATCTTTTTTTTCATCTTTTTTTTCATCTTTTTTCTCATCTTTTTTCTCATCTTTTTTCTCATCTTTTTTTTCATCTTTTTATTCATTTTTTTTTTCATTTTTTTTTACTTCTTTTTTTTCTTCTTTTTTTATTTAATTTTCCTTTTTTTATTAGATTTCTTTTTATTTTTTTTCTATATATTTTTATTCTAATATTTTCTAAAAGTTTTTAACTCCATTATTTCCCATTATATTTATATTGACAGCACTTCCATTATTTCTATTTTAATTTAATATTTATTTATTTTTTTCCTTTTATTTATCCAAACAACCTTTTATATTTTTAAAAACGATTTAATTCGAATTAATAACATTTTTAAAAAATTACTTTTATTATCCATAATTAAAGAACAATTCTCATTTTTTCTCTTCTATTCATAAAAATGTTACCGACCTTAAATTTTTTTAATATCAATTTCCAAATTAAGTTACTCAGCCTTTTCTTTGATAACTAAAATTATTAATATATATAAAAAAATATAAAATAAATAATAACTTTAATTCTACAAAATCATATTTGCCGTAGGTCTTTTATTATAATCTTTACAAAGACACAAATCAACTATTATACTCAATTCTTTTGAATAAATACTACTTATACATTAATATTTTCCTCTAATAATCTTAAGTACTAAAGCCCCTTAATTACTAGCCTCGAATGGATGTTTAAACATACACAATTCATAAAGCACACAGCCTAGACTCCAAATATCAGATTTTTCATTATATGGTTTTTCCTCACACATTTCGGGTGACAAATAGAACGGAGTACCTACCATAGTATGTGCGAAATTTCCTTTTTCATTTAAAGTTTTAGCTACACCCAAATCACCTATTCTTAATGTATCGTCTTTAGTAAGGAAGATATTCATGGTTTTGATATCTCTATGTAATATTTTTTTACTGTGAATATAATCTAATGCAATGCAAGACATAATAAAAAATTTCCAAATCTTTATTTCCTATAAAGGTCTTTTCATTTATAATTTTAAATGTAAAAATAAATCTCCGTTATCACAGTATTCCATTACTATACATAATACACTTTTATCTATAAATGAATCATAATATTTCACTATATATGGATTATCTAATTTTGATAATATGTTTACTTCATTTAATGCTTCTTGTTTTAATCTTTGAGACATTTTTTAAGTGTCTATTTATTTTATAACGTATATTTTATTATCTTGTTTTCTTCGAACTTTATATACTTAGCCGTAACTACCTTGGCCAAGTTTTTATAAAATTTCGAAATCTTTTAATTAACTTTAAGATGTATTCATTATTTAATATAAAATATATATATATATATATATATATATATATATTAATTATATTATTATAAAAAATTAATATTTTTATTTTATAAATAAAAATAAAATAATAGAAATATATTATTATAAAATATAAATATCATTTTTTATTAAGTATTTCATAATATAATTGCTACATTTTCTCACAGACATCTTTAAAATCTTTATACCCAGGAAAATAATTTATATCAATAATATAATATTCTTAAGTTTTAGTTTTTTTAACAATATCGAATCCAAATAAGTTAATTTTTAATTATCTTATAATTAATTAACTTATTTCATTTACTACTTATTTATTTAATTCGAAATATTTATTTTCAATCTTTTATTCACAAGCAATAGGTAGTTAACTAAAAAAGCTTTTTTAAGAATCAAAATACCATATTCCTTCCTCTTATTAATATTTTTAAGTGTCAATATTTGGTATACTTGCTCTTACTTGCTTTTCAGTATAATTTCCTATACTATATAATTTGTAAATTTTTCCATCATGATTTATTAATTCTTATATAATTATTTCTGTTTAACTTATTTTTTTATTAGAAATAAAAATTTAAATAAAATAAATACTTAAAAGGTTTTGTTTAAATAGCTTTATTTAAGCCTTTTTCATGTAATATAATAGCCATAAAATGCGACAATTAAGTCGAACATGCAGTCGTAGGTTTTATTAAAAGAGGATAATTTAATTCTTATTTATTTTTATTAAAGAAATCATCAAAAGAATCTTTTAAAGGATTAAAAATAACCATTTATGGTACTTTTAATTAGATTTATGGGAATTTTTAAATAAAAGTATTAAAAATTTAATCATCTTTTAAAATATTTTCAATAAAATTCTATAAATTAACTCTATTATTTAAAATATTATAATACTTCATATCATCCAAAACCACTATCTATGGAAATTTCTTAAAAAACTATTAAAAATGAAGGTCTATTTTTTACACATTAAGTACTTTTTCCTCAATTTCTAATTCTTTATAAAAATCCTGAAGTTTATGTAAAACCAAATCTAAGCCATTAAAAGGAATTTCCTAGTAATCATTTAAAAAGTCTAAAGGAAAGTACTAAAAAGGGAAAAAGCCTAAAAGTACTTTTGCTTGAATTAAATTATTTTATTTTTTTGGACAAAATAATATCCAATTTTTATTATTTTTTGGTCTTTACATCTTTTTTCTCTTCTAAAAATTCTAGACTTTCTTTTATTTATTATAAACTGGAAATATGGTAATCGACTTTTTTTTCAGAATAGCTTTTATTTTCATACTAATGTTTCTTATAAGAATTTTAGCCAAATCCAGAAAATAAAATACGAATTATTTTCTCACTTTTAAATTCGAATTATTTATGTGTGACTAAAATTAAATTATTATTATTTTCTTCATTATTTATTAAATTTTATAATTCAGTATCTTATTTTCCTTTCTATATGTATATTATTTTACTTGTGTCGTTTTCTTTTATTATTTTAGTTAGAATTTACTTATAGTATTCAATTTGTAAGTCATTTTTATAAATTATTAACCATTTTAAATTGTTTCCACTTTTTATTTAGTTTTCGAAAAAATTTACAAGAAAAGGATCTGTATGCGATTTTTTTATAGATTGTTCAAGTTATTCTGGTTTATTTAAGTGCTTTATATTTCTTTCAATAAAAATAGATTACCTGCAATCTATGAAAATGGTTTATGACATTTATTTTTCGTATTATTATATATAATAAAATATTTTATTATAATAATATAAAACACAGATACAAAATTTATTTTAATTAGATTTCTTTTATATAAAAAGAATAATAATTTAAAAATAAAAAAAATCTATAAAAACATTTTTATTAAAAAAATAAATAAAATATTATACTATATAATGAAATATATTATTTTTATTTACTTAAAAATAAAAATTATTAAATATATATAATCTAAAAATTTAATAAAATAAATATTGTATAGATATAATATATTTATATATAAAAAAAAAAAATACTCAATTTTTTTTATTTTTTTCAATCAAATCATTAATACTTGCCTTGTATAAAGTAGGTAAATATTCTCTTATAGCACTCGACTTATCATCTCCTCTTTGCGCATTTAAATTTAACTAATGATAAAGTCCAAATAAATAATTATTATCTTCTAACAATTATTTACAATCTTTTATTTTTTTAAAGGCGAAATCTAATAAATCCTAAAACCCTAACCAATTATTCAATGCGTTTTAATCATTTTAAAACTAAAAATAAACAAGGACTTCCAAAATAAATATTTAAACTTAAATACATTAAAAAACTGCATAAATACAATGTTAATCATAAAAATTGTTCAAACTTTAATTCAGAATAATATTTAAATTTTAAAAATAAGAATCTAAAATTTGGATTTATATTTTCCTATGAGAATTATTCTAATTAGATTTTAACATATAATGCCTTTATTTTAATTAACTTATCAAAAAATTACATATTATTAAAGCTTATTCAGCATTTTATTCAAATTAATCTGTTATTTATACTAAAATATCATCATTTTTACTTTTTATAAATTCATCATTAAAACTTTATTCTTTTAAAATTTCTAATTTCTAATGTACATTCTTATTTGATAACTACTATTAGATAAATCCGTCTTTTTAAAAATACTAAAATTAATTGTTTTCTTATTCGTAAATATCTGAAGTTTTATTTTAATCAGAAGAACAGCAACCCATATTTTTCTTTTTTTATTATATATATATATATATATTTTTATTAATATTGTTTTAAATTTAAACAAATAATTGTTTTTTTTATTTAAAATTTTATTATTAATTTTATAAAATTTGAATGATAAAATGCAAATTTTATATAAAATATATAGTGTTTTTAGTTTAAAATAAATTATTTAATAATATTTGAATTTATGAATCAAAATGAAAAAAAATAAATTATATATTTAAATATATATATAAAGTAAAAATATTTAATATATATATGTGTATTAACATAAAAAATAAATATATAAAATATATATAAATATATATAGATATAAATTTTATAATGTTATATATTTGAATTTATAAATATATATTTTTTATTTATTATTATAAATATTTAAATAATTTAGAAAATACATATGTTATTTATTATATTATTAAAAAAAATATTATTAACTATATATAATTTTTAAAAATGATAAAAATAAATATATTTAATTAGTATTTAATTATTATATATAAATTAATAAATATATTATAAAAAGCCTATCAATAATTTATTTATTTTTTCATTTAAAAATTTCAATAACCCTTATCTCCTTTATAATCTTTTTAATAACTAACAATAAAATAAATAATAAACCCAATTGCAATAGTTAACAATGGAATTCCAATTTCCTTTCTATAAAATAACCAAGCAAGTCCAATAACTATTATAGCAGGAGGAATGGCAACAATTAACCCAACTAATAAACATATTAAAGATCCTATAGTACCTAAGAACTTTCCAACAAACGGGAACCAATATAATAACTTATAAATAGGTGAAAGCATAAGGAAAATACCAAAAACAAGTAATAAATATCCACATAACCTTATAAGCCAAGTTTTAAATTCCTAGCTCTATAGTTTTTCATTAAAGAATTCCTCCTTAGAAATGTGCTTTTCTTTAATCCAATTGATTTCATCAACTGCTTAATTTAAAAATCTACAAAATTCGCAAATACTAAAACAACACGAACAGCATTAAGCATCTCCAAAATGTGTATCGCCTTCATTATAATCTCCAGGATGAAATACTTCAAATGTATTTTAGTGTTATTTTGCTATTATAGTACTTTCTCCACATGTACATTTAGTAAATTAAACTCTAAAATCTCCACAAGAGTTTTAATTTGGTATTTTTCGGAAATAAATATAGTCTTAGATTATTTAAATTTACTTATGGCCCTAATATTATTATTAATTCATTCCTGGAACTTCTTAAGAATTTTAGTAATTATAATTGTTTTCAGAATTCATCAATTTATTAATTTATAAATAATTATTATTTATATAATAAGAAGTGGTTCTAATATTTTATGTATTATAATTCAATAAACTAATAATTTCGCTGTTTTCACACATTTCCTTTTATTTTTCAGAAAGCTTAAAGGTACCAAAAAATACATTCGGCGCATAAATAACTTTACTATCATAAAGCCAGTCTTATTTATAATTTTAATGCCCTAAAAATAGTATATAAAAATATAAATATAAATATAAATATAAATATAATAATATATATATATATATATATATATATATATAAAAAAAATTTGTATAAATATATATTAATTTATAATTTCATATATATTTTTACCTATATTTTCATGAAAATATTAACTATCTATAAATTCGTTTCTCCAATCTATATTATGAGTATAGTATATTTCTTCATAATTATTAGATATTCTTCTAGAATGTTTATATTCTTACCAACAATAAATTTAGCATTTTCTTTTTATTTTTATACAATTATTTATTTATATATTAAAATCTCCGTCTATTAATATATCGTTAGTTTTAGTTTCGCCTTGTGTGAATACTAAAACATTCTCGAATTACGGATCTATTTACATAGAATCTATTTATATACATTTCTTTAACCATTTTTTTAAAAATTGTTTCGTTTTAGCATAACCTCTTTCATTATACCATAATAATGGAAAAGCACTAATAAATATTAAAATACCAAAAACTAAATCTGACACTATTGATTCTGCACTATTTCTACTATTACTTTTACGTCTTATATAATGATTTTTTTATCTTTTTTTTATATTAATATTAATTTATTTTTTTTATAAAAAAAAAGTTATACTTATTTTGTAAGAAATCATGAGGTATGTTGTTTTTTTTGGAAGTTTTATATCTTAGATATTTTTTAAAAGTTAGGAAAAATTATTTTTTAAAGGTTTTTATACTGAATTGCATAAAGATAATGATAAAATTATTGAAAAAAATAATATTTAAATAAATTTGTTTTTGAATATTATTGACATTTTTTTATTTTAAGTTATTTTTTTATATAAAATTAATAAAAATTAAATACGTTTTATTAAAATGTATTTATAAAATTATATTTTTATAAATTATATTAAAAAAAACTATTTATATATATAATAATTCCAAAAATAAAAAGCTTAATTTTATTCATATATTGTATAAATTTTTTATTTTTATATATTTTTAATATGTAAATAATAAAATCAAATTTAGATTCTATTTTATAGACTTGGTATTATTTAATTATTTTTACGATAGCAATTAATTAATATTAAAATATTTTATTAAATTTTCTTTTATATTAATTCTTTTAATATTATAATAAAATATATATTATTTCTTATCTTTTTTTATATATTATTCTTTTATAAATAATATGTATTCTTAATAAATTTATTTAATTTAAAAAAATTATTTGAATCTAAAATTATATTATTTCTTTTAATTTTATATATATAAATTCAAAGTTTTTAAACTAAATTTTTATTATTTTTATAATAGGAAATCAATTTAAAAAAAAACAAAAAGTAAAATAATAATACTAGAATTATTTTTTATAATAAAATTAAAATAATAAACCCATACAAAAAAAAAAAAAAGATTATAAAATAAATAATTATTAAAATAATCATCTTTTTTTATTAAATCCGCTATTTTTACCTTTACTACCTCCTCCGAATTTTTTTTTACCTCCAAAGCTTTTTTTACTTCCAAAGCTTTTTTTACCTCCAAAGCTTTTTTTACCTCCAAAGCTTTTTTTACCTCCAAAGCTTTTTTTATCTCCAAAGCTTTTTTTATCTCCAAAGCTTTATTTATCTCCAAAGTTTTATTTATCTCCAAAGCTTTTTTTATCTCCAAAGCTTTTTTTACCTCCAAAGCTTTTTTTATCCCCAAAGCTTTTTTTATCCCCAAAGCTTTTTTTACCTCCAAAGCTTTTTTTATCTCCGAAGCTTTTTTTACCTCCATATCCACCTTTAGAATCACCTCCTTTATTAAATGCACCTTTATTTAATCGTCCTTTATTAAATCGTCCTTTATTAAATTCTTTTTTATTAAATCCTCCTCTAGAATCTGTTTTCTTATTAAATCCTTCTTTAGAATCTGTTCCTTTATTAAATCCTCCTCTAAAATCTGTTCTATTTGAGGATTTTTTATTATCTTTAGAGATTTTTTTAACAATTCCTGGTTTTTTATGATCATTATGTTTATTTGAATTAAAAATGAAATCCGATAAATCTTTAGCTTTTTCTCCTTTATTTTTGATTTCCTATTTCCACTAATCAATAGCCTATAAATTATTAGATTTTTCTTTTGATTTTTGTTATTCTTTTCTCGCCTTTAAAATTCTCTATAATTTCTTCGATTCTTATTTTTATTTCTTTTATTCAAAATCTTAAATCCTTTATTATTCCAAAACCAATTTGTTTCGTATTTTTTGCATAATCTTGTCACTTCTGAACATTTCCGCGAAATAATCATCTGGTCTCTTAGTCTATATATTCTCCTCTTCAAAATATTTCAAAGCCAGTTGTGAATTTTCCAAAGTAATATTATAAAACTATACCTCCCTTTAAATATCTTCCGATATTTCAGATTTAGGTTCTATAATTATCCCTTTTTCACTTATTAGAGATAAATGTTAAGACCATTAAGGGTTTTACCCTGATTTTAATTTCAAACGGAGCCTAAATTCTTCTTGTATTTCTTTTACTTTTTAAAGAAGTTCTTCTTCTTTGTATATTTTTTGTTTTTTTTCATTAGGTTCTATCTTGACCAGGTTTTTTTTTTAGATTTGTTTTTTTTATTTTTTTAATGGGATTTATTCAGGTTCGGGTAGTTTTTAATTTTTTGCCATTTTTTTATTAATTTTTTTATTTTTAGTAGTTTTAACCTTATATTATATTTTTAATTTTATTTTATTTTTATTTTCTATAAATTAAAAAAAAATTAAAAATAAAGATTTAATTTTTTTTTTTTCCTTTAAAAAATTTAGAAAAAACCAACAAAAAAAAAAAACCTTTTTTTTTTCTTATTTTTTTTTTTTAATTTTTGTTTTTTAAAAAAAAGAAAGAAGAAGAATATTTATAAATACAGAAAAAAAAAAATGTTAAATATTTTTTTATTTTTTTTTTTAGTTTTTTTATTTTTTTTTGAATATTAACCTTTTTTTTTTTTTTAAGAGAAAACAAAAAAAAAACAAAGAAAAAAAAAAAAAAATTATTTAATTTTTTTTTTTTTTTTAAAATTTTTAATATATTTTTTATTCAATTATTTTCGAAAAGCTTATAATATTTTCTTCCTTATGTACTTTTTTTTAAATATATATATAAAAATTTCATCTAAAAAAATAATATACACGGCATGATGGTTCAATGAAGGTTAATAATTTTTATCATCATCAAGAATAAAGAATAATTTATCCAATTCAGGTACATCAACCATTTTTTAATAAACAGGAACGCCAACAAGTAAAGATTTTACTTTATTCCAATTTCCTCCTATACTCCAATATGCCTATTAACCCAAAGATCCTGCTGCTAAAGTAGGAATCGCTACTATAGCGGCTCTCGCAAAAATGTTTTAAGATTTCAATAAAGAAATACGGTTCACTAATTCCATAGTTCCCCAAAATGTGAAAAATCTTGCTGTATTTTTCCATGTGGATTCTTTGTTGTATATTTAGTGAATTTATTCTTATTTAGATTCATCTACTAAAGAAATGTGGGTGTATACTGTTTTACCGCCTTCTTATAATGTGAAAAACATTTTTTTTATTTTATTTTATCTTTGAAATAATATATAATTATTATTTTTATTTTTTTCTTTATTTAATAAATATTTTTTTTTTTTAAGTAAAATAAATAAAAATGAAATTAATTATTTTTTTATTATTTAATTTAATTGTTCATAATTTTATAATATATAAACAATTTTTTTATAAATAGACTTAAAATATTTTTAGTTAAAATATATATATTACTTAAACCAAAAATCATTATTTATAATAATATATATTTATTAAAAATAGTATTTTTATATGAAATTTTATAAAAAAAAATATTGCTTTTTTTTTTTTTTTTTTTCTAAAATTATTATCCATAAAAAATAAATATCATATAAAATATATAAAATTATTATTGTTTATTGTTTATTTTTATTTTCATTTAAATTAATTTATTTAATACTCCCGTGGAGCCAAAAATAATCCTAATTTGGAATTTTTTTTTTATTATTTTGCAGTTTTTACTTTTTGAATTCTAATTATTTTTATTATAAATATATATAAAAAAAGAAAAAAATACTAAAGATTTTTTTAAGATCCTATATTTTCATATAACAGTTAAAATTCCTATTTTACAAATTAATTATTAAATTTAAAATCTTAATTAAAAAAATAACTTTAATTTTAATTTCTATAAATTAATGAATTATCAATATAGTTTAAATTTTCGTTTCTAGAATAAATAAATATGTTTATGTTAAAAATATATATAAATTTATTAATAAATAATATAAATATATATAATAATAAATTACTTTTTTTAATTTGAATTATCTTAAGATTAAATTAAATTTAATTTATTGACATTTAAAATTTTTAATTAATTATTCTTTTCATTTAAAATTTAATAATTTATTTATTGTTATTTTAATTAAATTTATTATTATTATAGATATAATTTTTATTATTATTATTATTATTTTTATTATTATTATTATTATTATTATTATTATTATTAATGTTAATTTTATTATTAGATTTATTATTGCTATTATTATTATTATTGTTAATATTAGATTTATTATAGCTATTATTATTATTATTATTATTGTTATTATATATTTACTTACTAATAATTTTTTATATCTTAAATTTATTAATATTTTATATCTATAATCTATTATATTTTTATATTTTAATTTTATTTTTATTTCATTTTTTCTTCTAATTAATTTTAAAAGTCTTCTTCTTCTTCTCCTATTCTTATTTCTTTTATACTTAAAGGTATTTTATTTATATATTTATCTATTATTTTATTATTATTCAAAAATAATAAAAAAAAATAACTTGATTCTATTTTTTTATATCTTTCTTCTTTTTTTATAGTATTTATTATATTCTTTTTATTCTGAATTCATTTATTTTCACATTTTAAAGTTATTAGAATTCTGAACACTGATTATCTTCTCCTTATAATTTGTATTCCTATTTTTTTATGTTTTTTTATATTTTTTTATTAATTTACTTCTTAAACAGTTAAATTTATATAATTCTTATTTTTGAATTATTATTTATTATTTTTTATAAAATTTTTATTTAAAGCATTATTAACTTTCTTATTTTATATAATTTTTTTCGGTTCTTCAATAGTTTTTTTAGAATTTCTTTTAATATCTATATATAAATATTAATATATTTATTTAAAAAAATAGTTACTTGCACCAGTAGCCTAGTCATAAATTTATAGTGTAATTTAAAGATAATTTTTAAATTAATCACCTTCATCATCCTAATAAATAATATATATATTTATATATATATATATATATATATATATATATAAATATATATTAATAATAAAATAATAATATATATGTATATATATATATATATATTATTTATTATTAACATCAATAGGATATATTTTTTCATACCCCCCTAAATTTGCGTCTTCATATTCATCCCTTAATTTTTAAGCTTTTTTTATTTCTTCTAATTTTTCTTCATTACTATATTTCAATTTCTTACCTGTAAGTACTCTTTTTTACATACATTCATTTCTTTCATTAATAATTTGATTTTTAGTATATATATTAATATTCATTAACTTCAAAGCATCTCTTATTACATTTTTTTTAATAAAACTGAAAAAAAAAAATATATATAATTTTTATTTAAAAAAATATAACCTATCTAAGGGAGTATCAGTAGTAAAACTTGGTGTATGGTTAACTTCTAATAACCAAGGCTTTAAATTCTCATCAACCATAATATCAAAACCAAGAATTTCAAAGCACATATTATTCATAAAATTATTAGGTTAACAACATCTATAATTATGAGAAAGTGTAGGTTAAGAGCTAATTATAGTTTTTATTATAATTCTTTTAATGTTTTTCCATAGTAAATTGACATCATGTCCTTATTATTCTAAATACTAAATTAAATACAATAAAATTATAATGAATAACAAAAAATTATAAATAAATAAAGATGAATATATTTAATAAATATAAATATAAATATAAATATATATATATATATATATATATATATATATATATTTATATTTATATTTATATCTGTATATTTTTATATATTTATATTCTTTATTTATATATTTTTATTATATAATACATCTAAAACACTAGTTGATGATTTTTTATGTCCAAAATTCATATCTGCCATATCTGAATTAAATTAAAATTTAGGATTATCTTTATTTATAGCATAATTTGTTAAATGCATGCACATATTATCCATATTATCTTTAGAAGGTTATTTATATTCCTCTGTTGCAAATCTTGCTAGTCCTTCATAAAATATGTATATTCTTAAAGGTTCACATCCAGCCAAAAGAACATAAAATCTAAAATCAAATTTTAGATTATTTATTAAAAAAGGTTTATTTAAATATCTTTATACTACATAATGATCTTAAGGGTTTATTTCTTCTATATTTTTTATTAAAAAAATGCCTTTTCCCTAACATAATGCTTCTGGTTTAACTATAAAACTCATATTCTTTCCTTTCTATTCTATAAATTTCCTAAATTCATTATATTCAGTTGGTAACAACCATGTATCAGGGAAAAAATTATATTATTAAAAAAATTTCCTCATTTTTAAAAGGTTTTTAGCCAAATAATTCTTACGGGCTAATGAATACATTCCAGGAAAATGAGATATCTTCTAATAAGGTTTCATTTTTTATAATTAGTCTGGTTAAACTGCATTGTCAGTCCAAAATACATCCCAGTCAGAACTTTCTGAATCATAATTAAGTTTCCATTACATTATTTTTTTTGCAACAAATTTGATAACTTCATATTTAGTGTCTATAAAATGTTATGTTTTATTTAAATATATATTTATATATATATTTATATATATATATATATATTTATATTTTTTTTATCTGAAAAATACCTGAAACATTCATAATAATTTTTTATCTTTTTTTTTAAGATTATTATTATTATTATTATTATTATTATTATTATTATTATTATTATTATTATTATATTTTTTTATTTTTTTTTTTATTTTCTTCATTTTCAGATTCAGAACTTAATTCAGAATCTTAATAAGTACCATTAAAATTGTCAATATCTTAACTTGGTATATATATTATTTTACGACGTTATTCTTTTTGTTAATTTTCTTATTTTATTTTTTCTGAATTATCTATTATTTATATATTTTCAATTTCTTTATAATTATTTTTTGAATTATCACTATTTTTATCTTTTTCTTCTGTTTCTTAAATTTCTGAATAAATCGAATTTTCTGAATTTTATTCTATTTAATTTATTTAATCTGTTATTTAATTATTTTGTAAATTTTTTTCATCATTTTTATTATTTTAAGTATTATTTTACATTTATTCTTTATTTAAAATTTTATTAATATTTGTTTAATTTAATTATTTTTAATTTTTTTCAATATATTTTATTATTTATATAAAATTATTATTTATAAAATAACTATTAGATATTTTTTTTGAATTCAAGTTAATTTCTTTAAAATAATAATTGGTTTGTTTTTTAAATAATACTTTAGTTCAATATAATTTTTATATTTATTCTCAATTATATTTAATTTTTTTTTTTAAATAAAACCTCAAATGATTATTAATATAAATTTTTAAAAAGAAAAATTATAATTTAAAAAAAAAAATTAATTTATATTTTAAAAAAATCAATATCAAAAAAATAAAATTATAATTTAAAAAAACCTTTTATTATGATTAAATTAAAATATTTAAAAACATAGAAAAAAAAAAATGAATTCAAAATCAAAATTTTTTAAATATGAGAATTTTAAAAATTAGTAAAATTTAATTGATTATCCAATAGTAAAATTAGATTCTATTTAAAAATCCGATTCATCATCATAGCTTTCCTAGAAATTCAAAAATCTTGAAATTTAAACATCACCTTAAGAACAATATAATATATTAGTCAGTTTATTAAAAGAAAGTAGAAATTATGATAAAATAAATAAAATAAAAACAAATAATTAATATAAATATGAATAAGAAGATTATAGTATAAATTAAATAAGTTTGTAAAAAAGCAAAATAAAATTTTTATTTTATTTTTATTTTAAAAAAAAAAAGTAATATACAATTTTTATTATTATGTTCTGAATTATAAGATTTCCATTTTTTAGTTCTTGATTTTTATAATATTTTTGATAAAGATTCACACTTTTAAATGTCAAATTAACAATTTTTTAACTTACTTGAGTTATTTTTTATTTTTTTTATATAATTAAAAAAAAAAAAAAACTATTTTAATAATATTTAGCTATATAGTTATAAATTCTTATTTCGAAATAGAAAAGTTTAAATATTTAGTTAAAAAATTATTAGGAAAAGATGGTAATTTATAAGTAATTACTGAAATAATAACAACCAATAATGATAATTTATTAGATGAAAGTTTAAAATATGAATTGTATTAAAACTTTATAAATCCTAAAACAGAAAAAATAGATATGAAAGTTAAAAATATAATTTTTATATATAAATAAAATAAAATAAAAAAATAGAAATTCATAGGAACTTTTTTATTCTTTTTTATGGAGTTTACAATAAAAAGAATTAATGAAAGAAAAAAATAATGGGATGTAAATAATAATAAAAATATATTTATATATTTATATATATATATATATATATATATATATATATATATATATATATAACAGGTTATAAGAGGAGTAGAACCAATTAGAGATAATGTATAATAAATTAGTCAAATAAAAAATATTTACACTTTATCATAATGCTTTAAAATATTAATTAACTAAGATTATTTTAATATAAAACAAAGATATTAGAAAACAATAACATATAGAGATATTGAAAAAGTATTAATTTCATATAGAAATGATTATTAAAAAATATCTTAATATACAATTATTAATGTTTTGAAAGATACTGAATAATATATGAAAGTTGATCCTAATACTAAATTAGAGTTTAAAAAAGTAAGTCTTGAAAAATTAGTTGATTTTTTAGCTTTAAGATTAGGAATGCATTCAAATTGTTATAATTTACATAATTCAGGAATAAGCGATCGATTAAGATATATTGAAGTATTACTTCTTATTCAATAAATAATTTATATTTATTAATTATTTTTCTTAATATTGAATTTTTCTATTAAATTTAATTTATATTTAAATAAAAGGAAATTTTAATGTGGAATTCTTGCTAGGCTGATTAATTAATGGAAAAAAATAGAATTATTATGAATATTAATAAATATTTGTTTAAAAAAAATTTATGGTCTGAAAAAATTAATTATTTCTATTTAGAAAATATATTATAAGAATATTTTAATAATAAATGGAATTATATAGATAAAAATGTAAAAATATTATTAGATATTTTTTAAAAAAACTAGTCATAAAAAAGAATAATTAATTAAATTTTAATAAAAAATAAGCTAAAAAATTTGAAGAATTAGGATCTTATTTATACAACTCATTTTTAACAGAAATTGAATTTAAATTGAAATTTTATATATTCAAAATAGTAAAAAATATATTAAAATATAAATATATATTAAATATGGAAAAAATAATATATATATATATATATATATATATATATATCAATAAAATTATATATAAAAAAATAGTTTGATAACTAAGGTGAATTATTTACTTAATAAACTATTGAAACATATTTTTAAGTAATCAAAAATACTGAATATGATAAATTATTAAGGCATTAAATTTTCTAAGATTAATTAAAAGTTTAAAAATAAAATTAATTCGATTGTAATTTATCTACCGAACAAAATTAATCAAATTATTAGAATTCTAATTAAAAAGCTAATTTAATATCTGACCATATTTAAGATTAAAATTCTATGCAAAATTATTCTCTATCATAATATTAAACTAACTCTTAAAATGAGTATTTATATATTAAAAAAAAAAATGTTTAATAAAAATATATAATTAAAAGATAATTATAATAATAAAATAATAATGATGATGATGAAAAAGATGAATAAAATAATAAAAAAATAAAAATAAAAAAAAACAAAGTTAACAATAAATAACTTGAATACAAATACTATACATACTTAAATTAATAAAAATAAAATACAGATATATTGAACGCCTGCTTTATAATGGAAAATTTTATTGAAAAGTTCGACTATATGAACAATAAAAAATGCACTATCCATAAACTAAATAATATTTAAACAGATAAAAAACAAAATATTACAAACATAAACGATAATAACAAAATAGAGTTATAATAGTAAAAAATTGATAATTTAAATGATTCTAAATAATCATAAAAAAAGGATATTATAAGTAAAAAAGTTCATACTAATGAAGTTTTAATTTAAGAAAAATTACATATTATAAATTTTTAAGAAATTGATTAAAACAAAGCATAGATGAATATATGTATTAATAAACAATAAAATAGTAAAAATAATTATTAAAATTAAAAAAGCATTTCATAAAGTTAATTATAGAAACTGTCTTAAATATAAAATGAAAACTATTAAGATGAAATTGATATAAAATAATGTTCACCATTACTTAAAGGTAAAAATCACGAAAGACTTACTGATATACCTATAGTAGAACTAATGATGAGAAATAGTTTAAAATATTAAAAAAGAAAAAATAGTATAAAAGAATAAACAAATAATAATAATAATATTGACAATTATTCAGACCTTAATTCTTTACATTTATAAAATAATATAAATGTTCCTTTCAATATTAATTATGAACATATTAATAATATCAACGATAATTAAAGTGTATTAAGTATAAATTAATAAATAATATATTAATTAAAAAAATAAGAAATAACTCATTAAAAATAATAGATTATAATCTAAAAATAAAATAATAATATTAATAGTCGCGAATGTTGTATTATATATTGAAAAAAAAAATTCAAACTAAAATATATATATGTAATTTTTTATTTTATTTTATTATATTTTTTTTATGAAATATATAAAAAAATATTAAAATTTATCTTCACTTTATATATGTTTTTACACTACTTTGCTTTTAAAAAAATATTACAAAATAACTAAAAAAAAATTCTTTTTTTTTTTTTGTTAAAAAAAAAGAATAAAACCTTTATAAATAAATAATTTATATCACTTAGTCATAAATTTTTATATTTATTTTGAAAAACTCTATTAAAAAATAAAACAAAGAATTAATATTAATTGATAATAGCTTTTTTTTTCCGCTTTATCAAATAAGTTTATTTTATAAAAATTGAAAAAAAAATAAAAAAAGTTAAACTATTTATTTAAATATACTTTTATGGAAATAACAATCAAATTATATATTTTTATATTTCCAAAATCTTATTTTTTTATGCACTAGCATAGCAAGTTTCTTTTACATAATTTAGCTCTTTAATTTCCGTAATAGACAATACTCCGCATTTTTTTGCTAAAAATAATCAAAACATCAACTTATAGAGATCCTTTAATTTAAAGATTAAAATTTTTTTTGGTCCATAGGTTATATTTTAAGAAATTACTGATTATTTTATAATATCCATTCTTCTTCTTTTTTTTTATACCCAAAATTATGGTTTGTGCTTATTTCAATTAATTTTTAAAATTTATTAAAATTTCCCCTGAAAATCATCTTAATTTGAAAAATATATTTTAGTTTGACTTTTTCAGTTTATTTATATCTAAACTATTACTAATATATTATCATATTATCATTTATTTCGCAATTTATGCTTGATTTTCTTAGTTTTTAGTCAAGTTATGTGTTCAATTCTTGTAATAATACATAAATATTATCTTTTTGGATTTCTTCGAGGTATTATTATATATTTAATTTTATAAATTGTCTATTTGTATCATGTCCATCATTGATTATACGGCTAAAAAAGAGTTTTTTTTACCCAAAAATTTTTATATTTTCATTTATATAGTATAAATATTAATTCTGTTATGATAAAGAGGTGTCTTTTGTTATCAAAAAGGCATATTTTATAATAAAATCAGATGGTTTTTTATTTTTAAATATTTAAATTTTTTTAAAAAAACTGATTTTAATTTTTTTGATTTTCATTTTTTGATTTTAAAATAATAATTTTTATTTTTAGAAATTTAAATTTCAAAATATTCTTGTTTGATTAAAATTTTAATTTTCTTAATCTATTTTTAAAAATATTTTATTGTTGAAAATAAAGAATTTGTTTTTATTCGAAAAGATTTATTAAGTAAATTATTTTATTAAACTGTCCTTAAATCTTAATTAGATAGTCTTAATTATCTTTATTTAATTATAAATGACAATTATATGTTAATTAAAGATTTCTTAATATAATTGTTAAATATTTTTTATTATTTTTTTAATAAATTTATATTACAATTTCTTAAAAAAAAATTTATGAAATACTAATACTTTCTAAAAAAATGAAATTAGTTTAATATTTTTATGTCTTATTTTTTAATCATTTTTTAATCTTTTTATTTTTTTAATTAAAATTATAAAATATTATATATATATATATATATATATATTTATATATTTAATTTAATAATATCTTATTTTTAATATATTTATTAATTTAAATATTTATTTTAATTATTTTTATCATTTTTTTATTTTTTATTTAAGTATAATATTTTTTTTTTAATTTAATTATATTAAATACACCTATATACTTTTTTATTTATAATAGTCAATTTTTTTTTTATTTAATAATATTTATATATTTATAATAAATATCAATTTTTACATTTATAAAAAATACTTTTAATCAAAATATAGAAAAAAATTATAAAATATAAAATTAAAAAAATAAAATGGAATTAATATCTTAAGGAGCAGAAGCTGTAAAAAACCATAAATATAATATATAAAAAAAATTCATATAGAAAATATATCTACTAAAAAGTTTTTTAGGAGAACCTGCAGTAATAAAAGAGCGGTTAATAAAAAAATACAGACATCCAGATTTGGATAATCAATTAACAAAAGAAAGGATGTCTTTTGAAATTCGGAATATGGTAAGAGCTAGAAAATGCGGAATAAATACACCATATATAATGTAGGTTGATATTGAATAAAGAAAAATATATATGTAATATATTGAAGGAATTAAATTAAAAGATTATATTAATTAGAATAAATAATAAGACATAACATTTTTAATGAAAGAATTAGCTTAAATTTTAGCTAAATTACATGATATTAATATTATTCATGGGGATTTAACAACTTCTAATTTTATGGTCGTTTTAAATGATGAAAATTATGAAGGAAATAAATAAATTAAACATATAGTAATTTTAAATAAATATATTTATTTAAAATTATTATAATTAAGTATTTAATTGACTTCGGATTAAGTTTTGTAAAAGATAATGTTGAAGAAAAATCAGTAGATTTATATGTTTTAGGTAAATAAACATATAATTATATTTATTTATTTATATATATTTTTCATAAATTAATTAGAAAAAGCTTTTATCAGTACACATCCTGATTTAGAAAAAGAAGTTAATATTTTTTATTTTATTTTAATTAATACATTTAATAGTTTTAAATATTAATTTCTGAATATGAATAAAAATCAAGATAAGGAAATAAAACTATAAAAAAATTAATTTAAGTAAGATAAAGAGGTAGAAAAAAACTAGCTTTTGGATGAATAACAAAATATTTCAAAGCATTAAATAAAATATATAATTTTTATAGTTTCATATTTATATTTAATTAGTTTATTAATATATAGACTAAGATTTATTTTTTTATAAATTAATTTTTTTTCTCTTTGCTTCACATTAATCAATAAATTCATATAATGCTGATTTATATTTAATTTTTTTTTTTTTTTTTAAATTTCACTTTAAAAGCAAATATTTTATTAGATTTTTTTTTTTTATTATTAATTATTCTTTAAAACATTTTAAAAATTATTATATTAATTTTCTAAACTTCGATTCTTTGTTTAATTATTAATAATTTATTATTCGGAATAGTCAATATTATCCCCTTGTGAATGTTTATAATCACATTGCAAATATCCTAAAGGAATATATTTTCTATTATTTTGATTATTGTCTTATAATTATTAAGACTAAGATTAATTTTTAGACGCAAAAATACTTAATGCTCCCAATATAGACTTTTATTTATTTCTATTATCAAATTCTTCATTCATAAAATATAAATTTGGAACATTTAAACTGCTTTTTCTTGTAGAAAGTTTCGATATAAACTTATCTTTTATTACTACAAATAATGGAGCGAATTTATTTATTACTTAATATTCTTTCACTTTAACTTTATGTTCTTTTTTTTTAATATTTAATTTAATAATTTTAATCTATCTTCTACTGTATTTAATTTTAATAAAGCTTAATTAATTTCCGTTTTATTATTTAAATCATTTATACTGTTAAGTATTTCGATTATTTTATTATCAGATTTATTTAATTAAATATCTTATGATATTGATTTCTTCTTAAAAAAAGGAAACATTTGTAATTTTATTTATTATTTAATAAAATTTTATTAATTTAAATAATTTTTAATAAATATTTTTATTATAAATATTAATTTATATTTGTTTTATTAATATACATATATAATTATTTTATTATTATTTTATTTTTATATATTAAAATAATTTTCTTTTTATTATGTATATTATTACATATAAATATTAATCTGAATGAATTCTTATAAAATAAAATAAAGATATACTAACCAAATTAATTTTATTAAATTTTTAAAATATTTTAACGTATATAAAAAAAAATATTATTTTTCTTGTTAATTAATATTTTTTTTATATATATAAGTTTTAAACATTAAAAATTATTATTTTTTTTGATATATATTTTAAAATTTAATATATTTAATAATATAATTATATTTTATAAAATAATAAAAACATAATTATTTCAATTATTCTTAAATTTAATTATAAAAAATCTTTAAATAATTTATAAAATTAAATATATACTTAAATTAATTTTATACAAAAATATAAATAGAAAATATGATAAAAATAACTAAATTAAAAAAATTCTTATCACTAAACGACAAAAAATAATAATAAAAAATTAAAGTAAAAAAGGACATATACATATATTTATAAGACATTCCCTAGAATACAATATAAAAAAAAAAATACAATAAAATCTAATTTAAAATAAATAAAAAGAAAATAATAATTAAATAACATATATATTTTTATTTATTTTTTAAAAAAAGTATAATTCAAAAAAAAAAAAAAAAATAACTAAATAAATATAAAAAAACTAAATAAATTAAAATAAAAATGAATATATAAATAAAACGTAGAGATTGTAAAACTTGGATATCACAATCATATTAGCTAATTGGTGCCTTATCATTTATAGGCTTCTAATATTACATATTAATATATTTATATATGAAAGATAGATATAAGCGAAACCCGAATTCCACAATCGGAATTATATTATTATTCCATGTTGTATTCTTCATGTTATTATGGTCAATGACCCGTACTATAATAAGCGATCCAGGTAAAGTTCCTACATATTGGGGTGTAATAATGGATGATCCCGAGAGTAAAAAAAGGCGATATTGTCTAATATGTCATTAATTTAAACCTGAAAGATCCCATCATTGTTCCACATGTTAGCGTTGTGTATTAAATATGGACCATCATTGTCCCTGGATAATGAATTGTATAGGTTATTAGAACCGCAAATTTTTTATTTTGATGATATTTTATATAACTTTAACTGTATTTTTCATTGTTTTAGTAGAGTTGCTAGAATTAATTTAATTTTTTGAAAATTATAAAAATATACGATTTGATGTAAATACAATCTTAAAAATTATAGGATTTACTACCAGTGTATTTTTTCTTGGAGTTATTTCGAATTTCTTTAAATTTCATATTTAATTATTAATGACTAATTCCACTACAATAGAAACTATGGATAAATAAAGATAAGAATAACAAGGATAAATTGTTGTAAATAAATAAAACCCTTTCGATCTTGGATATAAATATAATTTCTATTAAGTTTTTGGATTAAATCCTTTATTGTGGCCTTTACCAATGTTTGCGTAATCTGGAAATCCTTATGGAGATGGGGTTATTTGGGAAAAAAAGTAAACGGAATAAAATACTTAGGAAGAAAATAATTGAATAATATTATATATATTTTATTTTTTTATTTATTTATATATATTGCATTCTTTTTTTTTTTAAAAAAAAAATAATAATAATAAAATGATTTATAGAAAATAATAATATGATTCTTTAAGTGCAAGTAGATTTTAATTTTTTTTTAATAAAAATATGATTATGATATAAAATATTATTAATGTAATAAGTATTATATTTTTTTTTTTTTTTGATAAAATAATTTTAAATTATACTAAAGATAAGAAATTTATAAATAAAACAGTTAATATTCTTTTTTTAAAAACTATGTATAAATAAATAACCTTAAATAAAACTATTTTAAAAAAAATATCTTTAATATAAATATTTAAAAATAAAAAATGAGCCTAAAATTTTTGATTCCTTAAAAAAAAAAAAATGATCAAGAATAATCAAATAGATAAAAAAACAAAATATTATTTTATAAAAAAACAAAAAATATAAAATAAATCAAACTTCTATATAGTCACTTTCATTTTAATTATTAGCAAAATCTTAATCACTATTATCATCATAAATATAATCTTATTTTGTATTATTATAAACGAACTATTATATAAAAAAATATATACAGGTAGATATATATACACATATATATAACTTTTTATAAATATATGTTTGTATTATAAATTACTTATTTAGCTGCATTATCGAATTCTTTATCTATGTCTTCTTCATCTTCATCATCATTTTTATTATCGCTTTCTCTTTCTTATTAGCTTTCTTTTTCATCTAAACTATCATCAATAATATTTTTCAAATCTTCATCTTCATTATAATCTTGAACTTATTCTTAAATTATTTAATTACCTTTTAATAGATTTTATTATATTATTTTTTTATTATAATTATAAAAATACCTTCGTCATAAATAAAGCATGGTGTGTTTCTCTATTAATCAGATGTAAAATTATTCAATAAATTTTATTTAATTTAATATTATTTTTTCAATTATTAAATCATCTCAACTTTAGATTTCAATGAAAGTAATTTATTAATATTTTTACATCTAACCTATATACTTCCTACTAATGGTTAGATTTTTTTCTAGATAAAAGGTGAACTAATAATAACAGTTTAATGATATTTCAGTATATATTTAAGCCACAAACTTAATGTTTTTCCTTTATAAGGAAAGCTATTTAATCTTTCAAAGATTTTTTCTATTAAACAACCTACATAAGCAATTTTCAAACCTAAAACTGTTTATTCTATAAGATCATAACTCTATTAATAAAATTCAAAAGAATTATATAAATAAAATAAATAAATATATATATATATATATATATTTATTTAAATAAACATATATATATATATATATTTATTTATATATATAAAATTCTAATAAATATATTTTACATCTTTATCTAAACAAAAATCTATTAATTAATTATCATTATTATGTAATGCCTAAGAAAGTATAATTGATAAATTTTTAACTTAATCAACATTTTCTTATTTTTCTTATATTACTTACTCCAATTATGAAATTTCTTATTATTATTTTTCTTTATTATTTTCTTAAACTAAAATATTTTTATTTTCCACAATATTATTTTCATTTATCACATAACCATCTTTTTCAACAAAATTATCAAGTATATTATTTTTATTAGAAATAATTTTTTATTAACTTTCTGAATTTATTTAAACCAAAACATTTTCCAATTCTTAATAATCAAATTTTTTTTATATATTTTACACGTTTAATTTTTTAAATTTAATATTAGATATATTGCCGTAAACGACGGAAAGTTACAAAGAGCTGTTTTAGTTAACATTATTTTTAGAAAAATACAATATATTATTCTGAGTTAAACTGAAAGATTTATTTAATGTTTATATTATTTAATTTTTTCCTTTTATTTAAAATTCCCAACATTCAACCATATCATTAAAAAAACATATTAAAACAAAATTATTCTGATGTATATTCTCAAATACCATATTTATTAAAGTAGATTTAGATAATATACTAACACTATGAATTGGTTTTTATTCATTTATATTGTAAATATTTATAAAGCCTTCATCACTATATGTGGCGAAATTATAATTATTTGTAGAAACACGAATAGTTTTTATATTATTGCTGTGTCCTTTATATTTTTACAGTATATTCTAATGATATTTATTTAATTTTTATTTTTTTATATTTATTTACGTCACTTAAAATATCTAAGTAAACTAATTTATTATTATAGGAATAAATAATATTGTCTTAAATAGGAACAATATTAGCACATTATAAAGAACTTTATTAGTCAATAAATTTTGTAAATACAACCTTAAAAATTATTATTAATTTATATTTTTATATATAGATATGTAAAAAATTACATCTTTTAATGTTAAGTCATACTTAAAAAGTTATTTGTCTTAAGAAATTGTATATAAAAAATTTCCTTCATCATTAAATTATAAATCTAAAACACATTCACTATGATCTATAAAAAAATTATATAAAAAAAATATTTATATATATATATATATATATATAAATATATATATTATTATTTAATTAAAT